AGAGGAAATGGCCTCAAGTTGCACCAGGGGAGGTTTTGATGGGATATTAGGAAGAAATTCTTCACTGAGAGAGTGGTTAGACACTAGAATGGGCTGCACAGGGAGGTGGTGGAGTCATCATCCATGGAGGTGTTCAAAAAAAGAGTAGATGTAGCACTTGAGGCTGTGGTCTGGTGGTTAGGGAAATGTTTGTATGGAGACTGGACTTGATGATCCTAGAGTTCCTTCCCAACCATAGTGATTCTATGATTCTATGGTGTTCAGCCTGGAGAATAGGCTTCAGGGAGACCTTCTTGCAGCCTTCCAGTTTCTGAAGGAGAAAAAGAAGAAAAGAAAGCTGGTGAGGGACTTTTTACAAGGACTTGTAGTGACAGGATGAGGGGTAATGGCTTCAGACTGGAAGAGGGGAGTTTTAGATTAGAAATGAGGAAGTTCTTCACTGTGAGGGTGCTGAGACACTGGCCCAGGTTTCCCAGGGAAGCTGTGGATGCTCCCTCCCTCAAGACCAGGTATCTGTGTCCATGGCAGGGGGTTGGAACTAAAGGTTCTTTAAGGTCCTTCCAACACAAACCTATCTATGATTCTATGATTTTGTAATTGCAATGAAATATTCAACAAATTCTTATATATTCTTAGAGCACACAAACATCAGAAAGCACACTGGTGAGACCAGTCCTCCACTGGTGAGACCAGTCCTATCTCTTTTAGCATAAAGGATCTGAGAATGGCTCAATAGGTGGAGTCTCAGCTAAATGAGATGTCTGTGTTCAGCTAAGTTAGAGGTCTTTGTGACTTGCAGAGAATCTTGGTGAATAAGAAGTCTTCTCCTGCACTCATAAATCATTATTTTACCAGGGATTTGGTTTTGTTTACAAGTGACTATAATAAGTTAATCTCAAACAAGTGGTTTATTGCATCATAACAAACATCAGTCAGAGGACAGTGACAGCACCCTGAATTGGGTGCAGAGCTCATCTGTCACACCTCCATACTTCAATATTAGTGGAAGCCCTCAAAACATGTCACAATATTCCTCTCCTTAACTTTCATTCCCTTACTTAATCTTTCTCTCTAATTGTAACATTATTATTCCTTACATTCCTAAAAAAAACTGCTGTCCTTACCATGGATTTTTAGCTTTATGGAAAGGGCTCTTGAGCCTCATTCCTCTTGTTTACAGGGACTGATCCCCCTGTAAACAAGAAGATTAAGTTAGGGTAAGAAGTAAAGCTAGTGGTGGTGGAACTAAAACTGTTGGACTTGATCTTAAAGGTCTTTTTCCAACCTAAATGATTCTATAAAAGTTTCCAGAATTAGGACCCAGATTCATCTCGCAGCTGTAGCTCAGTCTTGGTTACTAGAAACGTGGCTGGGTGGTCCCAGCCCCATAAGGAGCTGGAGAAGGCCTTCTCCAGGCCTGGAGCAGGCATGTGGGGTTGGCACATTCTGAGAAAACACTAAAGAACATCACTGTGTACTGACAAAACAGAGAGCATCCAAAGAGCAGGATGACTCTCCCACTGAGCTGTGCATCCCTGTGAAGTATTTAAGTCACCATTGGGATTTTTTTTTAAACAATAACTCATAAGAAGAAGCTACCTAACTGGCTGAGAAGGCAAGGAGAGGCCTTCTAAACTGACTCCAGAAGAGTCTTACAGATATTTCATAGGTTAACAGGACTGCATTTGGTTTCACCTCAAAGTTATATCTCCTTATTTAAATGAGAAAAAGCCAATTTTCCCTCCTCTTATCACTACAGATGTGGTTACAGGAGAGTGAGGTGAATTTTATTGCATCTTGCACATCAGCACGTGTCAGGTGATGCAGGAGCAAAATCTCTTAGTGGTGACATGTGGAGCTGGATTTTTACATTCCAGGGTGCTTGCATTGGAAGTTTAAACATTCAGTGGACTTAAACTGGATGAATCAGATGCACAAAGAATGGGGGGCACCTCTGACTTGTTTTACATGTCTTCTTCAGACTATAATCATATATTGATGAAAAACCTCATGAGTTATTCTTAAAATACCTTTGCCCAACAGCCATTCTGTCTTTGACCATCGTCTGTCCCTTCCCAAAGGTCCAGCAGTTTGTAGCTCAAAAGTCTTGTTTCCAAAAGCCAAGTAAGATAAGATTGTAGCACTTAACCTTCAGGTTTTACTGGGGACCAGAGTTTTTTCACCAAATTGGTACCACGTAGATCAATTTGAATAAAGTTGCTGTTCATGAGAACAAGTGCCTTTTGTCCCTGCTATATGCTTATATTTAAGTGCTACATGGGCACCTTTTGCTAAGCCTTTTCTGAACTGCAAAAATAATAAACCACAAGAACTATTCATTTCTCTTACCCAGTGGCAGCATTTTAATGGTCTGTCAACTTCAAGAAAAGAATTGTTGTCAGGTAAAGCCTACAGATGACTTAGGTAGTGATCACCCATAGGTGCTCGAAAGATTTTGTGCGTGTCGGTGTTGACCTGAAATAAATCCCCTGGTGTTTTTCTTGGAGGATGTGTGAAAGAAGGGAAGGCAAAGGAGAAGAAAAAGGAGGTTTTATAGAAATAAACCACTTTATAAACAGCTCTGTATCAGAATACATCAAGGGACACGCATTCTTCCAGTGGCTATTTTTGATTTGTTAAATTAAGTCACTTGACCTCTGTTTGGTCACTTGGCAGAGACCAAACATATTCATGAACTGATGGCTCCTCTGGGCAAATGATTTACGAGCTTCCTTCCTTTCTTTCACCACCCTTCTTGATGGAGGAAAGATTCACAGCACTGAAATAATACCAATTGCTTAGACTTAAAGTTTAAGTGTTTCAGTTCGTGAATGGACAAAGCAATCATGTGAGAGTGAAACTTGGGAACTTCATCAAGTTAATATAGTTAATAATTCTTTTTTGTTTTTGTGAGCTGGAGATGAGTTATCTTTCAATCCAGCTTAGTACAATCAATCATTCATGAACTGCCTTTTGCCTCTGCAGGTTCTCTGCACAGCAGTTGACCCTTTCAGTTGTCTCCTGTATTAGCCTTTGCAGATGTTTCTCTGCCTGTTGTCCTGATTTACCTCCTTTTGAATGGTTTGCTGTCATCTCAGAGTTGAGGCTCACATTCCCCCTAAAAATTCTGACCTTCAGTCTCAAATGGTGGCCTTTCCACTCTCTCCAAAGCACGTTATTGAAAACCAGAGCATGCCTCAAGTATATGGCCAGACAAATCCTTTTCACAAGTGCACATTCCTGTTCTAAGGACCTTCCTTTTAACCTGGCAAAATATTTAAAATTATGTGGAAAATGTAGTCATCCATAATGTCAAGACTGAAGCAAATTTTCCTAAAGATCCTAAGATAAAAGGCTTTGCCTAAGGAAGGAGTCATTAAACATCCCCATTCTTCCTGTCCAAGATGAATGTTCTGAAAGTGGTTTGCTCTGTTTCTCACCTACTCCATTTTTTTTTCATCCTTCTCCAAACAGGTCTAGAAAGTCAAGATAGTTCCCTGAAGTTAATTCATTAGAACAGTCAATGAAGGGCCCTTCTGGCTCAAGAAATTGTGATTCAGAAAATTATTCTGCTGATCCTTACCTGCATGGAGTTGGTGCTCTAGTAAGCTGGAGAACTTTCCCATAATAGTCTTCTGTTTCTTATCTCTCTGTGGTCTCCAGTAGCACTTAGATTTGGCCTTATAGATAGAAGATCATTAAGACACATCACCTTTATCCATTTGTCTTTAGTAAGAGGATCATTATCCCAAGATCCCAAAGTAACACTCATCAAGCTTTATGTCCACCAAACCAGAAGCCTTCAGATGCTTCATGCTCTTCTGTGGTTCTTTTTCTTAACCTGCTGCCAACCTCTACCAGGCTGATGAGAGACCAGACCAGAAGGCAACAAAACCAAACAGTATTTCCAGATTGAGTTTTGTGATGATTTCCCACCAATAGTCTGCTGGTTTTAACTCCTTCAGCACCACTGAACTGGTGCATGCAAATAATACTGATGATTTCTCCATCTGGATAGAGTATGAACTCTTGTCACATGTTTTGACTCTTCTCCTACAAACTAACCCATCGGTGGGAGCCAGAGAAGGAAACTTCAGGAAACATTTCACATCCCAGAAGGGAAGGGCAGCTTGAGCATAGCCTGAAGTCCCTGCCTGTTTCCATGCTGGCTTTCAGTGTCTGCTGCAGCCTGTGAAATGATCAAAATGGCAGGAGAAGAAAGTCTCTGAAGCAGTATTTTGAGTGGATATAAGTGGGGCAAGACTGCATGTGGTAAGGCCACCTGAAAGAAACCTCCACTAGTTGAGACACAGGACTGCAAAAGCCTGAATAAGAATTTCTGGGGAGTGAAATAGGAAAGACTGTTTCGTAGAAGCATTTTGTGGAAAGAATTTTCCAGACACAGGCACGACTTTTTGATGTCTGTAAGACATAAAGGAGTTGCAGGTCAAAGATAATGCTTAACTTGGAGGCTTAAGGTATGGGTAGAACTCTATCATCTGTGCTGATAGAACAGGAAGCTTTCAAGAAGGGCTTAAACACCAAAGTCCTCAAAAACATGAGACTAAACAAATCCTTGGTGTTAGTGCTAGTCCCAGCCTGGGTTGTATCAGTTTTGACATCCAGGATAGCTGCCTCCAGGGAATTCAGACAGCCTTTGGTCTTTAGGTATCCCAAATGTTTCTTCACAGAAACAGTGCCTGTTGTCTCTCCATCTAATAATACAGATATTAGCTGGCAGAGGTCTGAAGGTGGGTGCTGCTCTGCAGAAGTGCCAGTTACTTGCTATTCAGAGCAGGAGAGCTCTGTGGGACTAGCTTATAGATCCAAATGGAAACGATTTTTGCTCTGGGCTGCTCAGTGTGACCTTCAACCCATTGGAGAAATCTATTCCTCCTATCCTGGCTTATTTATTATTTGTGAAACATTCATGGCTTCAAGTTACAGTTAAGATTAGTTTAGCTGCCTGTCATTATTCTGTTCAAGGTTGGATTATTTTCTTACCTCTAACAGTGTGAAGCTTCATGAAAAGGTGCATTGCCCATCTCTTCCTCCAAGAAAAACACACACAACTTCTGGTCTGGGGTGTAGCAGGTCTGTCCATCCCTTGGGACTCCTTTCTAGTGTGTTCACTGTACCATCTCATTGTGAAAGTATTTCTTTTTCTGTTATATCTTTTAAAAGAACTAGCAAAATTCAGATACAGATACAATATAAACCCAGAAAAGTGCAGATGTTGCCCCAACCACAGCATGACTCTTTACCAGAAGAGGGATCAGACTTCAACGTGTATTGGTTTGGCTGCACCATCCTGTCTTTGCAGCCCCTGTTTCTGGAAAGGGGAAACTTTACAAGCTTGTAGTCCTGAGGGCACTGCTACCTGGACAGGACAACACTTTTCCACGAGACATTGAGACTTCTTGTAGCATTTCTCTTGACCCACAGGCTCTTAAATGGATATCGAGTGGATATTGAATTGCCTTAAGGTGTCCTGTAAATTAAGTAAATTAGCACCATATAGCTTCATTTGAGCCTCTTCAGCAGAGCAAAGGAATGGCTTTGGCAGGCATTGTTGAGTGTACCTCTGTCAGAAGTTTGGAGGACACCCACATGGATTTCAGTGCTCACCTGAAAACATTTGGCCACAGATTCTTGACACTCGTGTGCTGGCATGAAATGCTAACTTGGAGATTCTCTGTGTTAGCCAAGAGACTTGGTCACTGAGGCAGGTTCTGACCTGTAAGGTTGAGATGAAACGTGCAAAGCCACAGTGGACCTTTGTAAGAGTGAGAGAAATGGCACCAGGCATGCAGAATGGTGGGTGCCTCCCTGGGGAGCCACCTGAAAACCCAGCTAGAGAGTCCTGGGACCTTGGGAAGGCAGATGACCTACCACCATGTTTCTTCCTGCCTCATCTACACTCAGGCCCTTGGAGGTCTGAAAATCTTCATCTTTCATCTTCACTAACCATGTCAAAACTAGCCTGTCTAACCTTTTTCTTGGCTCTGCAGCTTGTTGAGGTGTGTTCCATCTCCCTTCTCCAGACTGGTAAAAAAAATGGCAGTACCACAGCTGCTTCCTCAACCATCCTCTGACCCTAGGCACCAACCTCCTGCCTTTAGGTCTAGGGTCCTATTTCTTTCCTTGTTCAGAGCTCTGTCTGTCCTCACCCCCTCTCTCTCACACTCTATATCCAGAGGTCACTTCTGGCCTCTTTCTGAGCAGATACACAAAATATTTAAGAATTTTAGGCAGACGTTTTTTCTTTTCACCTGGCTGTAACTTTTCACTTGGTTGAACTCCCAAGACACAGCTGTGCAGTTGGTAATGCTATGTTAAATACTATAGCTTTAAGGTCTATGTGTAGACTTTTTGTGTGCCTTGATGCTGATGGGAGCTGAGGGTCCTTCCCTCTGCAGGACTGACTGTTTCAACTAGAAGTGCCTGTGGGGAAGGCTCTTTCCTCAGCTCTGAGCATTCTGAACCTTGCCAAGGGGCTGTGCAGGCTGGCGTGGTGTGCAAGTGTTGCTGTACTCTTGCTGGTGCACTAATTTTGACAAAACCAACTTTTTTTTTGCCTCTAGGGCCGATGGGAGAGTCAACAAGATGTGTCCCAAGGTGCCACAAATTCCAGTAGAGGCATCAGTCCATCTCGTACCTCTCTGCCAGGCTCTGGGCAGCAAAACCACTCTCCTGATCCAGGTAAGGACTTCCCTAAAGCTTTCCTAAAAATGGGTGAAGTTACCACAGCTGCTGAACGTGTCAGATAAAGCTGAGCTGCTTTCAGAGGCATGGAGGAGTTTCTTCTCCAGGGCAATGTCCCTCTGTGAAGGTTTAGCAGTTGTGACTGAGCTACTCAGACTCCAGGCAACTCTTGACCCTCCTTTCCATTACATCTGCTGCTGGTTCTGCCAGGAGGTAAATGCCACACGTTCAAAGCTGCCTGAAGATGTTAGTCTGTATCTTAGGAGTTCAGTTTCTAAAGCCACAAGTTAGCTGGGCAACAGGGAAGGCAGAAGGCTGCTAATGTTTTAGAATCTGAGCAGCACTGGGACTGGATGGGTATGTTGCAGATGTGTTGGAGGGATGTGTTGCATGTCTACCTAGGTTTGCTCAAGGGGGAGTAGTGTAGGAAAAATGGCACTGTGAGTAAGGAGAGTTGAATACCCCTAACATGTTTTCTTTTTCTTAACTTGGATCTTCTCATCTTTTACTTCTAGTAAGTCTTGCAATTGTCATTAAGATTGTGTGTTGTCTGGACATCCTTTTTCCATTATGCTGCTTGATTTTTTTTTCCTGCTTCTGCACGTTCCAAAGCATTCTGTGTTTCCAGTTGCAAACAGCAAGCTTGGAAAAAAAATTCAGTCTGCTGGGGCCACAGATTAAGATTAAGACCTACCCAAATTCATACACTTCCTGCAAAGAAGCAGCAAGTGCTCAATGCTTTTCCTTGGCTAATGCTTTGACCACTGAAAGATGTTGTGTTTTGTCTTTTTTTTTTTTTTAGTTTTTAGGGCTTTTTTCCCTACCCTCCAGCATAACTGTTTTCATTTTTTAATTTTTCCAACAGGTATTGGTAGCCTGGCTGCTTCCTATCTGAATCCTGTCAAGTCTTTTGTGCCTCAGATGCCAAAGCTGCTGAAGTCTCTCTTTCCTGTTAGAGATGAGAAAAAGGGCAGGCAGAGCTCTCCTCTTGTGCAGCAGGTAAAAACTGAAATCCCAGCCTATGCAGTAACACTGGTGAGTGCTGTTAGACTTGCTGGCAAAGTGCTGTTCCATATGTTGGTGCAGAGCAAACCAAGCTTTTAGTCGTGGCAGAGCCTTGTGATGCATTTCCCCTCCATTTTGTCCAGAGATAGTGGAGCTGTTTAAACTTATTGATACACTCAGCCCACTTGGCTTTTTAGTACACTACCAGTGTGATTTATGGTAATACCACTTGCAGCAACAATAGTAAAATTTATGAAGTGCACTTAGTGTTGTTTGTGTATTGCCAAGTGGAAGATGTAATTCTATTTTTAATTCCTTATTTCATATACCATTCCCTCCCACCCCTCACTCCAGCTCATGGCACCTTTTAGCATCTTCTCCTGTGTGCTTTGGACAGTTGCTTTTCTTCATTCTCTTACTTAGTCCATGTCAAAGAATCATAGAATCATTAAGGTTGGAAAAGACCTCTAAGATCATCAAGTCAAACAATCACCCAACACTCCCATCACCACTAAACCATGTCCTGAAATACCATGCCCACAGGTTTTTTGAGTCCCTCCAGGGCTGGGGACTCCAGCACCTCCCTGGGCAGCCTGGGCCAAGGCCTCACCACTCTGCCAGGAGAGAAATTCTTCTTAATGTCCAGCTGAAACCTCCCCTGGTGTAACTTCAGCCCATTTCCTCTTGTCCTGTCCCTTGTCCCTTGGGAGCAGAGCCCGACCCCCCCCTGGCTCCAGGCTCCTGTCAGGAGCTGTGCAGAGCCAGAAGGTCTCCCCTGAGCCTCCTTTGCTCCAGGCTCAGCACCCCCAGCTCCCTCAGCTGCTCCTCACATGACTTGGGCTCTCTTTCCCCACATTTGTTGCCCTTCTCTGGGCACACTCCAGCCCCTCAAAGTCTTTCTTGTCCAGTGGTGCCCAAACCTGACCCCAGTACTCAAGCTGTGGCCTCCCCAGTGCCCAGTCCAGGGGCACGATCCCTTCCCTGCTCCTGCTGGACACACCAGTTTTGGTCCAGGCCAGGATGCTGGTGGCCTTCAGGCACACTGCTGGCTCATGTTCACCTGGCTGTCCACCAGCACCTCCAGGTACTTTTCTGCCAAGCAGCTTTCCAGCCACTCCTCCCCAAGCCTGGAACATTGCCAGGGGTTGTTGTGACCCAAGTGCAGGACCTGACCTTGGCCTATCCATCCAGCCTGTCCAGCTCCCTCTGCAGAGCCTCAAGTCAGAGGAGCATTTAACTGTATGTGCTCCAGATGTGGCTCCTGTGCTCTGGTCACACAGACTAGAAACAGCTACTGTCTCTTAAAGAAAACAATGGAACCACAGAATCCCATTATCAATAATATTATCCCCTTTATTTGAGAGGCTGTGGTGTATTTATAAAGGAATAGTCCTCTATGGGTAAGTCTGGAAGATTTCTGAAGGTAAACCTGGGGCCAGATCTCACTTGTTAAAGTTTGGGGAAGTCCAGTCTCTCTGTGCTTTGTTCACCATGCAGCCAACTCTGCTGTTGTTTGGTCACTTCTCTGGAGTTCTGGAAACACATTACCTCTTAACTTAGACCTTTCCTCACCTCTTGACATGCAGACAAGCATTTTAAGGAATCTCTTTCTCAAAACAAAGTAGGACAAACCCTAAAATCCCCAAGCACCTTTTTTTTTTTGTGGCTGGATCCAGACCTTCTGTTTCATTGTTTGCCACAACTAAAATTCTGTTACAAGAATGTCCCAGGACTACAGGAAGTTGTTTTGTTATTGTAGAAGTAAAGTGAAATAGCAAATAAATCACTAGAGCAAAAACAAATACACTTAACACTTAAATATTTTTAAAAGTAACTTATTGCAGACATAGCACAAATAAAAATAGGCCAGATTTAAAGGATTTCTAGTTTGTGGTTTGATTCTCTACCAAGTAATAAAAGGAGCAAATTTTACTCCTTTGTTTTATCTAATTTAATGCTTTCCATTTTCACATCCCCTTTTGCTTACAACAGGTTTAATGTTGAGATTGGAATCCTGTAGATTTACTCATCTATGAAACTTAGATAATTAAAATTAAGGCAGTGGCTTTCTTTACAGGTATTTGGGTATCAAAAGATGCAAATAGCTGCTCTTTACAATTGCAGTGAGAGCCTTTCATGACTTCTTGAATTCTTACTGAATCAATGAGAGCTGAGATTAGAAGCGAGGTCTAATTTCCTGCCTCTAGTCTAACCACCTGTTCCCACTCCTTCCCACTGTTCAAGATCAGTCTTGAAGGCAGTTTTTCAACTACAAAGACATCTATTTGGAGAGATTTTCATTTCTGTTATGGATTACTGTGGAAACTCAGGTAATCAGCTCATGATCACGACAGTTTTTAATAGGAGGGGATGCTATTTCTGCTTTGCTTTTTAAAAAAATAAAAGCTAATATATTAAGAGGAATGTTGAGACATTTCAATCATAGACTCATAGAATAGTTTGGAAAAGACCTTTAAGATCATCAAGTCCAACCATTTACCCAACTCTACCTAGTCCACTGCTAAACCATGTCTCTAAGCACCACATCTACATGACTTTTAAACTCCTCCAGGGATGGTGATTCAAGGACTTCCCTGGTCAGTCTGGGCCAGGCCTTGACAGCCCTTTCAGTGAAGAAATTTTACCTAATATCCAACCTAAACCTCCTCTGGTGCAAGCTGAGACCATTTCCTCTTGTCCTACAACTTGTTGCTTGTGAGAAGAGCCCAGCACCAACCTCTCTCCAACCTCCTTTCAGGGAGTTGCCCAGAGTGAGGAGGTCTCCTCTGAGCCTCCTTTTCCTCAGACTCAACTAAGGTAGAGTAGTTTTAAACTGGATCTTAGGAAGAAATTCTTCAGCACGAGGGTGGCCAGACTCTGGAGTAGATTGCCCAGAGAGGTTGTGGATGCCCCTCCCTGGAGGTGTTCAAGGCCAGGCTGGATGAGGCCTTGAGCAACCTGGTCTAGTTGAGAGGTGTCCCTGCCCGTGGCAGGGGGGGGGATCAGAAGATCTCTAGGGTCCTGTCCAACCTCAGCCACTCTATGATAAATAGCTCCAGGTATTTGCTTACCTTCAGAGCAACCTCAGTTTTTTTGTGACCCCTGGATCTGTATAATAAAATGCAATCTTACAATTATTTGCTCCTTTTAGTTTTGTAATAGAAGTCAGATGTATTTAAAATACACCTCACTAGTTCAAGAGGTTTAGAGATATTCTTCATGGCTCTGTCAGGGAGGAAATGGGGCTTCTTCACTCCTGGCAGCAATCACAGTGCACAGAAGAGAGAGCAAAAATGAAAGGAGCTGCTACAAAATGAACTACAGCAGCTTCTGTGCAGCCCAAAAAATAAATAGGTGCTTTGAGCCAGGCTGGCTTTAAGATCATAAATAAAATTTCTTGCTTTTTCTTGATAAGGGCCTGATGATGCAGATGTGGCCAGAAGGATTTGAGTGGTGGTGGTGATGAATGGCAGTTGTACCTGGTGGATGATGGGGCTGCTGTGGGGGTCACTGTTTGGCAGTTGGCTTTAACACCTTGGTAGTTCTCATTCTAATTCTTAGTCACTCTAATTGTGATTCTTAGTAATTCTTGTGTAACTGTAGTAAACTAAACCATGGTGAGGACACAGAAATGGGTATTTCTGAGGCTTGGAAGATACAGAGCAATGCATCTTGGTTCTGAGGAAGAATAAAACTTCAATGCAGTGGCAGGGGACTTAAATGAATGTGGAAGGTGAGAGGAGGTGATAAACTACAAAAAGTCTAAGGGACAGGTGAAGCCAAAAGGATATTTTGGCTGTAATTGCAAAGGAATCTGCCCCTGAACCAGGAATTGATGGACTTCTGTTGCCATAAACAATACACTGGGAGAACTAGCTTCAGGAGTAGAAATGACTAAAGGAATGCTTTACAAAGCAAAAGGAAAGACCCCATGCACCAAGGCAGGGGAGGGGTGACTTGTTGGGAAGCAGCTCTGCAGAGAAGGACCTGGGAGTGCTGGGGGACAACAGGTTCCCCTGAGCTAGCAACAGACCCTGGTGGCCAGGAAGGCCAGTGGTCTCCTGGGTGCATGAAAAAGAGTGTGGCCAGCAGGTCAAGGGAGGTTCTCTTCCCACTCTCCTCTGCCCTAGTGAGGCCATGGCTGGAGGACTGTGTCTGTTCTGGCCCCCCCGGTCAAGGGA